CATGCTCATTTCCTGGACTGTGTTGACTTACGTGGGCGTGGCTGTGTGTGCAGCACCTGCTCCAGGTCGCCCAGCATCGTCAGGATCACCTCTTTATCCAGCTGAGCTGTTCCCTCACGAGGACCGCCCCCTGAAACCTCCTCCTCTGCCCAATACCCACCGTCCTTCTCCTTGCCTCCCCGCTTCCCTCCACCCCTTCCTGCCGCTGGCTCTTCATCCGAACGCCCGCTGCCGTCTTCATCTGTGCAACCCTCCTCCCTGGACTTCCGTGCTGCCTCAGTCCGTGGGTGGCCGCTATACGACGCCCGTTGTGGGCGCCCGCCTGCACCTGTGCATCGCCAAGGGACTGGGATGAGGGAGTGCTCTGACTGCGAAAGTACCTTGGTGAGGGAGAGCGAAAGGGATCGAGCTCTGGTGCCCCGCACACCTCCACCCCTTGTGACCACCTCCTTCCTGGGGCTTCCCTGCAGGCTGCCTCCTGCTCGCTGTGTGGGGGATGAGTACGACGAAGAGTTCTGAGGTTGTGAGAGACGAGACGGTGGCTCGTCGAGCTCAAAGGAGTAAACTCGCTGCTCGCCATCGCTCAGCAGGGTCAGGTTTGTGAGTGAGCGCTGCTTGATCCGCAGGTTGAGGTTGTCAGGGAGAGGCTGGGGAGGCCGTCGTGCCGGGCTGCCTCCCTGATACACTGAGAACTCTGCTCCTCTTTTCATCTCTGCTCACCGCTCCCCTCCCTTTTCCCGGCTTACCTTTTCACCACTGGTGGCTCAGTGAGTAAAACTACTCATGCAAGTGGGTCTACCTGTGCGTAGCTCTCTGTTTCACATCTTGGCTGCGCTGTCAGTGGGAGAACAGATGGAGGGAAGGAGGAACCGGAGGACGGAGGAGGCAGAGAGATGTGTCCCCACGTCCCACGCCTCCCGACTGCGGTCCAGGCTTCAGAGGGCTGGAGGGAAAGCAAGCGCAGGGCGAAGATTGGAGAGGAAAGCTCCCTCTCAGGCATGTAGGTAGAATCCAGATCCATCCTTGAGCCAGTCCATGCTCATGGTCAGACGTTGAGCCAGACACAAACACTTATTTCGTCCACTCCTTCTCCTTGTCCTCATGCTTTCTGTCAGTCTTCTCCCCTCTTTTCTCCTCCTTCACCACAGTCAGGGGCGTGGATGAACGAGCCGCTACATCTCCCTTCCCTCACTAACACGTTCTCTCTCCCTCCCGCGCTCACTCTATTTATCTTTTCCCTCACTAAACGACAGTCTCTTTTCATTCACTCTTATCTCCCTCCCTCCACCTTCTGTCTCTCCTTTTAATTACCACCTCTCCGTCACACTTCTCCTGCCTCCCCTCTGACTCTCTGACAGTCCCTCTCTGCTCACAGTGGAGAATGAACGGGTGGTGAAGCCGGCGGACGGGCTCACATAGCTCTCGGTCTGCTTGTTCATTCCTGCATGCAGCCTGCAGTACTCTCTCTCTCTCTCCCTCTCTCTCTCAGCCCTCCTTCTCTGTGCTTATCACCCTCTCTTTCTCTTAATCCTTCTCATTCTCTCACTTTGTGCTCACTTCCCTCCTCTTCCTCACCCCTTATCTTCCCTCCCTCGCACTATCATTCCCCCCACTCTTTCTGTCTCTCCATCTTCCCCTCGCAGTGTGACAGTGAGTTGTTTGGACAGCAGCACCTGTATGCTTGCAGCCCCTGCTGCACCGCACCGGCCAGCCTGACTTAATTAAATGCTATCTTGCGGAGCTGAAGCGGCCAGCCCACAGCTTATCGCGGATCAACAATGAGACCACAGAACCAACATATCCTCATCAATCAATGCGAGGTTTATTAGCCCTGTCGCTATTAGTCACAGCTGTCTTCCACACATTCTTCAATCGCAGTTACCAATGGCAAGCAGGGACTGAAAGCAGTTGCCTCAGAAACCGTATAAAAGTTTATCCTAATTGTTTGTTTACTGTGAGTGACATAACTACATATTCATCAGCAGTATGTACTATGTACTATGTACAGTACTATGTACATTTTTTTGCTATTACTAATCAAAACACACACATACAAATCAATAAAATTACATCTGAGACTACCATCTGCTGTTGCTGTTTTTACATTTCTACAAGTAATTCCCAAAAGCTTAAATCAACATATGACTAAGGCGCTTGTACATGTAAAATGAGTAGGCCTGTCATGTGGTATTTGCGGTGTGCATGCACTTGAATTTTCTTCTCGGAGACTCATTTCTGCGCCGCTATGGAGGAAGAGTCGGGAAAGGCGAAGGATGCGAGACGACCATGAAACGTGTGACAACAAAAAGCAAGTGTTTGAAATGGACCCCAAACAAAGGCAACGGTCAGCGCTGCAGTCTAATTCCATCCTTCAAATGACGGGCTTCTGTAAAGCCGCAACCAAAGCAAAATGTCTGGAATGTCACCACCGACCTGACATCCCCAAACCTGTAATCACCCGCTGTTGTTTGTGTGCACGCCGAGCTTTGTAGAGTCTTTCTGGCTTCACTTTGAACTTGACATCTTATTTATCATCTGTGATGACCTCTATTATTTCTGTTATTATAAGGCTGGAGTTTTGTTCCAAATTATCCATCAATTGAACCAAGTGACATTTCTTCTAAGAATGATTTGGAAGGATATGAGTCACTGTGCTTTAAACAGACTACACAATACAGCAGATAGTGGTGAATGAATGTCAGGCAGCACAAAGATCTTTTATGTAAACTAGGATGAGTGAAGTTGTGACACTGAAGTCTTCATTTGCAAGAAGCCAAAATGCAATTGAAACAATGGAACTTCTCTGTGCCAGTGGTTTGTGTTGTGATTGTGTGTTGCCTGCTCTAACCTCTCATTCTACTCCTTGGCAGGAATTTAAGATTGTGGTTAGAAACTCCTTCAAACTGGTCAGACGTCCCTGGGCCCTGACCTCTCAGCCGCACAAGCTCAATTGCACAGATGTCCACTGACTGTAATTAAAGGACAATAAAGATGTTTGCAAACTTTGCAAACAAACAGTAGGATTTTATTTCAACCAGCAGCTTTCAGCTGTATATGTGATATGAGAACCATAGTTGAATGGGATCATAAACTCAAACATATAGAAAGTACAATATATTGGCGTAGGGATGTCAACAGATACCTGTTAATGGGTTAACTGGTGAATATATTTTTGATTGGCTACGCATGTTGTTCAATCGGTTTATTTTGCTGCTCTTCAGTGCACCACCTGGGTCTGCTGGGGGCTAGCTAGTGGCACTGCCTATTCACCCTCCAGTCTCACTCCAGGTCACCCTGATGAGTACGTGGGTTAATTTTGAGCTGCAAACCCACCTTTCATATTGTAGCATATGTTATCACTGTTAGCTCTGTTAGCACTGCAGTGTCAGCATGGCTAGTTCAGTCAGGACCACTCTGAAGTATTATATTTGGCGGTATGGCTCTGTTCTGGGTTCTCTCTGCCTTTCATAGGCCTACGCAGAAAGCCTCTTCCACGCGTCTACATGGAAAGCCTAAGAGAGCACACCTCTCTGCCCCTCCACGTGCAAACATGGAAAGCCTTTGGTAGAGAGAGCACACCTACCCTCCCCTGCCTAAACTAACATGACGCTCAATTTGTGCTAATTTTGGTAACAATGCTAAAGGGGGTTTGGGGCTCAAAATGAAGCTGCTTACTCAGTGGGGCTGCCTGGAGGGGCGACTGGAGGGTAGTGACCCTGTTTCAGCAGAGGTTACTACCGAATGAGCGGTGCTGCTAGCTAGCTCTTACCCAGCCCAGGTGGTGGGCAGTGCAGGGTGGCTACTTAACCCAAGGAGATCGGAGGATGGGCAGTGGGCACTGTTTCCACATGTTAACACAGCCAGCTGTCTGCCTGTTAGCAAATCTAAAGGCCAGACATTTGCATCACAAAACATTATAATTTCACCACCTCTGAATGGATAGCGCTTTGAAATGTGGTGTTAATGCTCACTGAGGCAATGAAGCGCCAGACTAAAAGTAAAGGCCTCTTGTTTTTCAAGTCATTTTGCCTTTTATTTTCCTTAAAAAATAACTGGTTGGTTACAAGTAAATGGGTGTCGAAAGCAAAATTAAGCAAAACTGACATCCCCATATTGAAGAACATGGTCCATTTTCTGAGTGATTTCAGCCTCTGATCCTCAAAACCACCACCTTTACTAAATCAATTTTTCTGTTGTGTGAAGGCTTAAAACTCCTCCGATACGCAGTTTTCATGCTCCTTTGTAGTTTATGTGTGAAGTCCATCCATTTCTCCATCTGCAAATGGCTCAAATATCTGAACTAATGGCACTTTAGGAGCTTTGGATTAAAAAAAAAAATCCATCCAATGTCAAACAGCACTTTGCAAAAACCACCCCTGTGCTGTGGTTGAGAACATTGAATGATGTGTATGTACTGATGATTACTATGTGTCATATGGCTGGTCGTGATGCAGAGTTGGGATTGTAACACATAATGGCAGCCTGCAGGGGCGTAAACAAAGAGCTGCAGATGCTCCCCATGTCCGTCTGTCAGCGCTGACCTTTTCCCTCCGCTACAGGAAACAAACGCTGAACAGGGATCCCCCCCAGTTAACACAAATAAACACACACTGAAAACACACCAGCTGCACGACACCACAGCATTGTGCTTTCCACAGCAGTAGCCTTCAAAAACTCTCCCACTCTGCAGCTACCCTGTAAATATCCTTCATTACCAGTTCCATGGACCCTGCAGCCTGCTTTTACTCAAATGTTAGGTAGAGCAGCACATCATTTTTCTATTTCGTAGAGCAAATGCATCATCTAAACATTTCCTCTCACACGTAGAGCAGCACTGCAGCAGGTCAACATTACTTAATTATAGATGCTGAACAGCATATGAAGGTTAAAACCCTATATGACCAATATAACGAGAGACAAATGGTATTGCACAGTCACACACCCACACAGAGAAATATCATACATGCAGAGCCCGCAGCGTGTGTGTTGACCTGCTGTACCTGATATCTCCTCCAGGCACTGTTTGGCTGTCTTGCTGTAGACCAGCTCTCCCTTGGTGGGGCTGAGGCAGGGGTCTGCTGGGGCCACCATGGTGCAGTCGTTTTCTGAGAAAGTCCTGAAGGTGAAAAGAACAAATAATAGACAGGACTTATACAGACAGGCTGAGATATCTGGAGAACTTGACTACAGCCAATATAGTCATTTTAGAGGAGCAGCAAAAGGAGAGTTTTTACTTTGAGCTACTCCAGTGTCATGCTCATGTATTCACTGTCAAACAACGTAATAAAAATAATGATGAAATAATGCCTTCTAGTAGTTTTTATTAGATTGTCATGATTATTTCAAAGAAAGACAGTTTTTTTTCTCCCCTTAGCACCATTTGCTTTTAGTTTAGTATGGCAAAAAACTAGCACCACATTAAAAATTTAGCATCACATAAACATAATATGGTCTGTGTGGAGTGTCTAAAACGTGTTTGTACAGTTGGAATTTAAGGGTTAGAAAGAGCCAGTAACTGAGAGATTTCAGAGCAACAGCCAGAATCCTCCCTCCTTTGCATCCAGTCTGTCATCTGTGTTTCTGCGATGTTAAACATGAAAAAAAGAGTCTGAATTTCTGAGTCACTTCTTGGTCTCAGTCACATGTTCAACAGATGGACACCTCTGAAGGGAGGAGGGGACGGTCTCCGATGAGATTCTGCGAGTGCTTCGGAGTGTGTGTGTGTGCATGAAATATGTGTTTGTGTGCGACTGCCTCTCCTCCTCAACCCTGAGCCGCATCACGCTCCACTGTTTGTTTGCTGATCTGAAGAAACAAGGATAGAGTCCAACACACTTCAGGAGATAACAGTCCCACACACATGCGTGCACGGAGAATGAAAAAGAAATCCATGTATGTGCAAACACACAGTTAAACACGGTGACAGTCAGATGATACACACGCAAACACGATGAAATGCACACTCACACAGCTGACACTTTTCACCGCATACACACGGAAATCCTGGAATACACACAGTCAAGCGTGTATACAAAAACACACAGAGAGAGCACGAGCTACTGTATAATATTCATTCCCTCCCATATACACAATACACATACACACACACTCAAGGGACCACCACCACCACCTGCAGAGCTGCAGATAAAAATTGGCTTCCAATTGCGACAGCAGCATCAGCCTGTGACTTCAGCTCATGTGAAAAAGCTTTTTTTCCTTCTTGCAAGCTTCCCTCACCTCAGTGGATTCACGAAAACAGTGACAGAGATATTCACTACTACTACCGCTGCACACAACAATTTAGACCCAAATAAGAGAGACGATATATGGAGGAAAGGTAAAAAAATATTATTAGCTAACAAATGAAAGGGAAGAGTAGCGTAGACTCAGATAAGGCTCATTTTAATGTTTTTTGGTTCTTTACTCATGTTGTAGAATGAACTATCACTGTATGGGGAAGGGAGCACAAATCAATCCTGCACACTAACTGCAGCAAAGTCACTACAAACACGCTGACTGGTCTGTCAAACTTGGCAGAGGCCACAATGTAAAGTGGGCATAGAAGAGAAAGAGAACAAGACAAAGATGCCTAATTGGGCTGAAAATGATGGTAAATTGCAGCACAGCAGGAGGCCTTTACGCTTACTGTCTGCATGCTGGGTAAGGCCTGCTGGTAAGGAAGAACATTTATAGCAACAGAAGAGGAGGACGAAGGTGGAGGCTACAGAAATATGCTCACGAGGAAATATCTTGGCACAGAGGAGAAAGGCAGAGTGGGGACAAAGAGGAACTTTGACGAACTCTGAACACAACTGGCTGTTAGCAAGCTTCCTCGCTCGAAAAGGTTTTCTCCTCCTTCAGGAAATCTTTATTGACTGATGTGAGGTCCAAGCATTTGAGCAAAATGTAGTAAACAGCCCGGAGCAGAATAAAACAGACAGAAGCTTGCAAGGTTAGCATGTTAGCAGTTAGCTTGCCAGCTACTATACTTCACCAACTAGTCCTGCATGTCGTCCCTTTGTCACACACACCCTTTAACACCTTCTATATTGTAAGGATGGATGGATGAATTTTGGTGTGCCACTTTCTGATGTGACAATCCTTAAAGAGACAGTTCACCTCAAAATCAAAAATACATATGTTTCGCCTTACCTGTAGTGCTATTTATCAGTCTAGATTGTTTTGGTGTGAGTTGCGGACTGTTGGAGATATTGGTTGTAGAGATGTCTGCCTTCTCTCCAATATAACTGAACTAGATGGCACTCGGCTTGTGGTGCTCAAGGTGCCAAAAAATGCATTTGAAAAACTCAGCAATGTCTCTTTCCAGAAATCATGATGCGGTTACTCAAGATAATCCACAAACCCTGTTGTGGGCAGTTTCTTAGAAACTATTTTCTTTCTACCAAACCACATCGGCCAACTGTATCACTGTACAGAAGGAAGCCTCCATCTACTCTTGGACAACAGCATGTTTATGACAGTGCGATATGTAAACATCAATGGCGTCCTCCTGAGCTGTATTCAGGTGGATATCTCGAACACTTGGTAACTTCCACTAAAACAATCCAGACCAATAAAAAGCACTACAGGTAAGAGAAAAATGTTTGATTTTGGGCTGAACTGTCCCTTTAACAGCAGAGCGAGTGAAGCTTTTACCAGCCCAACTGTCCATTGAGTCTGTTGGCCAACTCATCAACTAATCAGAGACTGGTTTCTAATGGCCACTAGAACTTTAAAGTGAACTGCAGCAAGTAAAGAAACTTTCAGCTTCTCTCTCCAAATGCAAATAATAAATTGGTCCGCAGAGGAGTGATGGTCTCTTTATAGCTTATCTGTTTTTGGGTGATGATTCCGTAAAAAAAAAAAAAAAAAATCAGTAACAGGTAGTAGTTTGAGAGCAGCTGTAGTGGTTGCATTCTCAACTCTTCTCACTATGGCAAAAGTTCTAGCCCCAATTACTGACAAAAATGGCAGCAAGTTGTAAACTCGAGCCCAGCTCACAATGTTCCCTCAGAATCTTGTGGGTGACATCACAGATGGTACACTTCTTTCCCTACTCAATGTTTACTTTTTGCTCATTGAGTGGGCGGCCTGTGCTTTTGCAGTTTCGGTTTTGGTCCCCTTCTTCATAAGTGACTATCACCCACTGTTGGCCTAGGACTGATAGTTGCAGCAGTTTTAACTTGCTAAATGTGTGGGATTAAAGTAATGCTAATGCTCGAAAGAGGCACAGCTCAATGTGGCAGAGCTGACTGTGCACAACGGAGGAGGAAGACGAGAGAGGGAGAGAAGGGGTGAAGGATTAAGTCTTGTTTAATGGGATTCCTAACTCTCTTTCTCTCTGAGCACAAAGGCATCCTGGAGACTTTGGCGGCTCCTCCATTTTTTTCCCCCCCTGGATTACCTCTACTGTTGTAAGAGAAAATCGGCCCTGCTGGGCAGATTTACCCACTTCCTGCACCTCTGATGGCTGGAACGCCAGGGAACCATGCGCCAGCTGCATGCATCAAAACAACAGTGGTTGAATGAAGTGAAGAGGGAAGGGTTTCTGAACGCTGCCAATGTCTGGATTCTCACATCAAAGATGAAACCCAGACAGTTAAATAATAGGCTTTGGCAAGCGTCAGGCAGTGGATGTTAATTTGTTCTGTAACGACTGTGAAGAGATGTGGAGGCGAGAGCAAGATGCACAGTGGGGGGGCGCCAGCTGATCACTGGGAGTGCTCCAGGAATATACTGTATGTGTGTCCGGATGTGTGCAGGTATGACTTTGAGTAAAAGGGTCAATATATTGATCTCTTCCAGGAAAAAGTGTGGCAGAGATGAAGATAAACAGCATGTCTCACCTGTACATGAAGGGGGCCACAGTGGCAGTATTGGGGTGGTTGTGCTGCTGCTGCTGAGGAAGTTGAACTACTCCGTTCCCTCCAAGCGCTCCACCTCCTCCTCCACCCCCTCCTCCTCCTCCTCCCAGCATCCCACTGGACCCAGAAAGGGCTGAGGTGCTGGTGGAGGAGGTCATGCTGGTCCTTTTGCCCTCCTGGCCCCCACTGGAGCGCTGTATGTAGAAACTCCCACCCTGCCCTCCTTTCGTGAGCTTAGCTCTTTCCCCCTCTCCACCCCGCATGTTGCCACTGCTGTTCAAGGTGGCCTGGCTTTGGCTCTGTGACTGACTCTGAGACTTGGACGTCGTGGTGGAGGGAGCTTTGAGTCCTGGCTTAGGGATGCCGCTAGAAGCCGAGGGGGTGCCGCCATCTTTCTTTCCAGATGATGGCTTCCCTCCCTTGGGGATGAGGCTGGCAATTTTGGAGGACTTCTTGTTGGGGTCAGCAAAAGACTCTCTCTCCTCTTTGGGTGGAGAGCTGTCCTTAGAAGATTTCCCAGATCTGCTTTTGTCCTCCTTGTCTTTAGAAGAGGCCATGGACCTGCTGCTGGATGCTTTTGAAAATGAGGAAGGAGAGGAAGGAGAGGAAGAAGAGGAAGTCTTGCTCGGTGCAATGAGGGACGATGCTGAGGTCTTGGGAGACATTTGCTTGGCCGTAGCACTGCTACTGCCGCTGCTACACACCGACCCCGTGGGTGTCAATCCATCCTCACCATACTCTGACAGGTCATCCTCCTCCTGCAGAGCCATCTCTGCCACAGACGGCGACGCTCGTGAAGCCGATCTAGGGTTAATCAGGCGGAACTTCTCCAGCATGGACCTCTGGGGTCCGCCGCTGCCAGCTGACCCTACTTTTGACCCATCACTTCCATGTGGCTGAAGGCCTTCAGAGCCTTGGGGTGAAAGGGTGGGGGAGGGTGAGTGCGTGGGGCTTGCCAGCATGGACGAAGTGGCGCTGTGCTTGAGGTTCATGGACTTGCTGCGCCAGGACTTGCCGGCGGTGGGTGAGGGGATGGCAGAGGCCAGCTGCTGCCCGCTGAGACTGGTGGGAACTGTCCCACCAATACCGCTCCCATTCATCCCGCCGGGTACTGGGATACCCCTCACCGCTTCTGAACCAGGGAAGAAGAGAGAAACAGAAAGGCTGATTATTAAAAGTGCTTATTTGGTAAATTAACACATCTAATTCGATACGGTTGTTAATTTCCAAATCATATTTCCAATTCAAATAACTGAGCCACTGATTGATTTAAATAAAAAGTTCAGTGTTATAACAGAGACATCATTTACAGTAATTAACTGTAAATTGCATAATTTTGCCTACAAATTTGCAATTTGGTTAAATTCTGTCATTCATTCATGTAAAACAGACATTTGATATCTAATTTTGGAACACTTTTGCACAGTAGTAATATTCAATGTAGTGACTCTGACACTGGTGGGGATTTTAAGAGCAAACCAAAAAGTTTGGAGCAAAGACTCCCGAGATCTGATTGTGGCAAACTTTCATAGTCTTCCTGGATTTATTTGACATGAGAAACCACCTTTTCTAAAGTCACAGCTGAATACCCTGCTGTCTTCCTCTGTGGTTTAACACACATTCAGCTCAAAAGTCAAGCACAAACGGGAAACTTTCAGTGGATTTCAGTGTTATTCCCCTATTGGCGGAATGTCTACAGTAGGATGGGTTAAAAGAAAAGATTTCACTGTTATTATTACACTGGAGTCTCGAAGGAGTTTGCACTCATGTGTGTTGTAGCTTCCTGTTCAGACTTCTGCCTCTGGATTTACACTTCTATAGATGCCTGTCGCAGCATGTTTTCAGGTGGATAACAGTGGTTAGAAGGGGCAGGCCACCATGTTGTAACCATGACAACAAAAGAGATCATACCAGCTACGTTAAAATGGACGGAGAATATCCAGCCACCCCCAGATTCTCTGTTCAACATCATTAGTCTTTGATGATCAGTATATTCTATGAGTTATTTTTGCGTTTTCAGGTTGGTGATTTTCTGCCGTTCCTATAATTATTCTTGGATTGTATTGAATTTATTTGTGTTATATGTGTAGACAGGGAATGTAGGAGCAGGAAGAAAGTGAGCTTTTCCACTTGGAAAAAAATGTGAACACTTCAACCTCAACTCAAAAAATGTCTTCCATATTGAAGCTGCAGTGGGTGTAGAAATTGATGTCTGCCTCTGATCCAGGGATTTCTCCCTCATATGAATGTTCAATACTGGTAGAAAATGGCAGCCCTAAAAGAAAGACCTTGCTCTTTGTGGGCTTTGCATCAAAACCAAAACCGCTGAAATATTTCCTGCTGTAAAACGTGTATCTGCCAAAAATATCCAGTCACTGTGTCATCCACATTCAGCCATTTATCTACATGAAGAACATTTGCAAGGTACATTACACTGGATGGATGGATTTGAGGTTAAATTTGTCCTTTAAAGGTACTCTGTGGGATTTTTAAAATCACTAATAGCACTACAGAGCAATGCTTTTAAGAGCGTTTTGGTGAGAAAGACTGAATTCAAGGATAACTTTTGTTTGTTTACAAGAAAACTCCATGGGGAACATGTTTCCTGGTTGTGTGCAGAACAGACGTTCCATATTTAGTACAAATAAATGAATGAATAAGTCAAAGGCAACAAAACTACAGCATGAAGACAATAGGCCTTTTTCATAGTTCTAAAACCACCCTTGTGTCCGCATCGCAATAATGTTTTATAAATATATTCAATATTACAATTTCAAACCATTTCTGGAGTGATTCTTCATTCATATGAATTCATATTTGACCACTCATCACATTCGCTGTCATGTATTCCATTACAGGCCTGTTTGCTGAGCTCTGTCGCATTACAAAGACATTTACTTCTACTAGATCTTCAGTCAAACGGTGCTTGGAAAATACAAACACACGCATACATGCACACGGAGCATATAAACATCCATCATGCGTGTAAAATAAATGTTTTAGCGTCCAGTGCTGTGCATTGACCTTTACATGGAAACACCACTTTTCCTGTCTGGTTGATACTGCGACCATCGGCAGCCCCCACCCCCTCTCTTAAACACACACACATCCGGTACCAGACAGATAAGTATAGTATTTGAAGAAGATGGACACAACAGAAGGCAGACAGAAATGCATCTCCTTCTGGGTGTGAGTTAGCGGCCACTTCAGAGGGAAAGACGCAAAGAAACAGAGTGAAAAAAAAAGAAGGAAAGGCAGAATTAGAGACGGGGCAGGAATAAAGAGAGGAAGGCGACAGAGTGACAGCATGAAGTTATGCCCCATTAGACTGAGTGTCTGTCTGGCTGTCAGTCAGCAGAGTGAGCAGGGTTCAGCTGGCTGTGAGTCACCTCCAGTCTGCAGTTTAAAGCCCCTTCAGGCAGGCGGCGGGAGGGGGTTTCAGTTTCAGCTGCAGCCGCGGCCCAGAGACTTTAACCAGCTTACACTTCTGACAACACTCTCTAAAACCTTAAAACATGCCTGAAAACGCCTCAGTGCACTGTGATCCTGAGTGAGAAGTGCAGTCTGTCAGGCAATAACAGAGACTCGTCTTCACATTGTAGCGCAGTGCGCCAACAGCAAACTGACTTTTTATTCACTTCCATATATCTTCAGTCAAGACAGACAATTATTATTTGTTTATTTAAGATTCCAAGCCAGTCAGTTTACTGCAATTTCTGTGAAACTTGGTGATCAAAGTTTTTCATGACTGCAATTGAAGTCTGCGGCTAATCAAGAGGCGTAAAACTACTGCTGCTAAAGCTGAGGGCAGTCATGAATATCTGCTGACATCATGTCAGGAAACAATCCAAAATAAACAGCTGGGCAGTATAACATATGGGTCATCAGTTTTGCAAACATAGCATCAATACATCTACTCACTAAAACACACTGTAGATATATACAGTATCTACATGGCTGAAGCATTCATGATATATTAGATTATTTTAATCATATCAATTTAAGCACATTTTTAGGTAAATCTCAAATATTTTTGTGCCCAATATTTACTCCTCACTCCTCAGCTACTGGTTATGCTTAAAACCTGATCTTTATTTAAAACAATGCTGAATAAATACAGAGTCTATTATACTACAATTTAGATAATTATATATAAAATTAATTGTAGCTGATTATAAAATACACCATAAAATGCCATCTCAAAAATATTAGAAGGCAAACGAAACTTCTACTCTTCTTCCTCTAACTCTGAGGACTGATTTTACATATGTGTGTATATGTGTGTCATATCTGCGTGCATTTAAGAATGTGTGAAGACATACATGTGTGTGTTTAAATCTATGCACGCACATTTTAATACCCAAGCAATACAAAACAATGCATGTATCTTGTCTGCATGTGTAAGTGACTTGTGTCAAAGTGCATGAGTACAATAGCAGAACCTCCTCTTCCCTGTCTTACAACATTGTTTCTGCATATTGAAAAGGGCAGTGAACTGGCAGACACTCTCCTGTTTGCCTCTAATGAGTTCGCAGGTTAGAACGCTGAGATGAGTCAGAATACAGAGGGTTCTGATCTCAGACCAGCAGAGGAACATTTGGATTATATTTAATCAATCGATCCCCACCAGGTACCCTCATAAAGCAGCTGTTGCTGAAAAACAACACACTAATTTTGTATTTTTGTGTGTGTGTGTATGTGTGTCTGGAAAGCCGTTTGGTGCTGATACAAACATGGATGAGAGTGCATCCATTCTTGTGTTTATATTTCCAAGTATATGTGTGTGTCCTCTCTATTACCCTTCATCTTTAGAGACAGTGCAGTGGCCCTCAAGGCGGTTTATGAATGTGAATGAAAGAGGTTACAAGCATTTGTGTGATCCTGTGTGTGTGTGTGTGTGTGTGTCTTTCTGTGTCCAGTCAATTAACCTCGTCTTTAGACATCCCTCCCTCCCCTCCCCTCCCCTCCTTTCCCTCCTTCCCCGCTCCTCCTTCCCCACCCCGGAGGCAGTTTTGAGCGCCACCACACTTTTCACCGTGCAGTGACTTGTCGTTGCCATGGCAACAGACTCCTCTTTTCTTTTTTTTTGCCTCAGCCGCCGAGGAATGAAATGTCATCTCTACTGGGCGGCGGTGGACCCTCTGCTTACAAACACACACCGCAAACAACAAGCGTACGTGCTGTTTGCAGCCACATGACAGATGATGGAGGGAAACCGAATGCCTGGATTTAAGTGGGTAGTATTTATGAGATGACACATGCAAAAAGTCACGTACATGCACCGCACACAGATGCACAGGCATACACCTGAAGTCTGCTCAGATAAAACCTGCAGCAAGTTATGCAGCAGTGACCTCTCTTGTCATCTGAACTGCAGCTCTTGTTTTGGATACATTTTATCACACTCTGAGTTGAACGCTTTTCAGCTTTAGCGGCTCTCCCCATTACATCACTGTCAGACAGATAATACATTATCGCCTCGCTGGAGGAAGTCAGCAGCTTCTCCACTCAGCTTCCACCGAGTTTTGCAATTGCCTCCTCATCCTCACTCCCGACAATGAACAGTGCAATCATCAACTTTCTTGAGTCCAATTTTACAAACATGCCCTTTGATGCTCCAATTTAGTTGGCTGGAGTTAATTAGATAGTTGCATGGCAACAAGAATGATGCAATGCTCTTTGTGCCCTTTGAGCTCGTGTTTTTAAGAGCTTCACTGTGTGTGAATAAAACAACACCCTAATGGGTTCACTCCATCCCCATGAGGCCATGCATGCCTGTCAATGAAAAAGTTATAGAAATAAACAAACTAGAAGATGACTTTCACTTGTGTAGCTGTCTTTACTGGCACATCAGTCACTATTAGGGGTGTCCTTATCGGTATCCTTATCGGTAACCCCGCATTCAAATGAATTGACTAATAAAACATCTGATTACATCAATATTTGAACCACACCTTTAAAAATAATAAGTCTAACAGCTGCATTAGGTCCTGACGGAAATAAACGAGCCTTGTCGAAACTGATCAGGAGGTTTTAACAACAAATTGAAGTTATAATTGCACTGGGACAGACTGAACAAGTACTCAATACCTTTAAGGTGTCAATCAAAATAACCTAGTACCAAGGAGTATCAAAACTTCTCCAGTAAAATGGTACCTGCATTTCATTCTTTTTGTACCCAGACCTAAAAAAAAGACTATTTGTATGGTTTTGCTCACAGCCAATCACTGCAAGCGTTCTTCGATTTAACGTGACGTGTGATTGGCTCACTAACACAACAGCTAATACCCATACAGTCTGTGGTGTGGTCAAGTCGAGCGCGGTGGTGTCCGGCCCCCCTTCAACCCTGAATAGGACACGCAGTTATGGAGGATGACTAAATGAATGAAGTTGTTTGTGGAGTGTTGCTGCTTTATATGTTTTTAAATTAATTGAATAAATTATTGTTATACGGGTCATTCTTCAATAAAAGATTATAAATCTGGACCAAAGAAAACCAGCACCCCAGCTCACTGTTGCTCCAGACCTTCTCACCCAAGGGAGCAAAACAGGCATCATGTCAGAGGATGCAGAAACCCAAAGAACATGCATCATTGTCAATTAAAAAATATGTAATTTGCTGACATTACTTTAACTATTTCCTGTCCTACAATTCATTTGAGTTTAAAGACACTTCTGTTTAATATAAAGATGCCTCTCTGCAATTTAAAGATATGCAGATAATGAAATAAAACTAAATAACAGGCAACAGGTGTTCTTATTGGCCAGAGCAGTAAGTATCCTCCAGAATATTAACTTCACTGATTCAAAAATGTGTCTGAAAGAATCACTTTGATATATAAATATATCTATGTTGAATGATTATTTTGGCTGATAGATTTACATATTAAACATATAATTTATGGTAAAGAGAATCTTAGCTCAAAGTCTTCGCACAGAGAAGCAACTGGCTCAGGTGTCGTCACATGACCTGAGCTACCCTCATTTACATCCCCTTCTCATCACGGGCTTCATAAGAACACATCTTGGAATGATTTTAAGAATTAGAATCTGATAACAAAAGAAAAATAGATAGATACAAGATAAAATGTTGTAAAGAGAATATGTAACATGAAACGGGCAAATGAAATCATCTTTAAGAGAAAAAATAAACTCAAGAAGATGTCCAAAAGGGCTTGTAGCAGACACTTCCTGTATCCGTTTCAGTCTTCTTCTCTCTCTGCTACCTGCTTTTGCCCAGAAGGTTCTGTCTGCATCGCTGACATTTCCCCACAATTGATTTTTCTTTTTTTTTTCTTTCCTTTTACTTTAGACCAAAACACTGTTTCATCTCTCCTGCAGTGAGGCTCCAACGCCTGGCGTCTTATCTCTGCAAACTGCAGGTTTGTCTTCTGGCACGACTCAACTGCACTGTGTGAATGGCCAGGATTAGGACACATCCACCCTTTTAAAAAGAGCCAACTATTTTCATAAAACACTAAAAAGAAACTGATCGACTGAATCCTTTATAACGCGATGTGCTGAAGGATAAATCGACACAAATGACTGATCTTTAGACTAAAGCAAAAGACTAATAGGATTGGTTTTAATAATTTCTGCTTCCTCTTTTCTCTATTTTCAGCTACAAACCCTGTCCACCCTCTAAACTTCCATCTACTCTCACCACGCCATCCCTCGTCCTCTTTTTGAGTTTGACATCTCTGACTCAAGTTGGAGTTGAGTGCACACCCTGCGTGAACTTTTAGGATTGAATGCAAGAAAGAAAGACAGAATTAAAATGAGAAGTTGCTGGAGGCATTTTTTTCACTGCTATTGCTGCCACTCACTGCATCTTACCTCCACTTCCATCACCTCCTTCTGATCCGCTTGCAACTCTACAGACTAAATCCTGCATGCTTTCCCTCTGTGACTGGGCAATGCTTTAAGATCCAAACCAAGATCTCATAAAGCATTTTACGATTACATATACTGCGAGCCAAAGCAAAAGGTTTGTCAATTATAATGTCATAAACTTGTCAGGAGTGGTTTAGATTATTAAAATGACTGTGAGCAAAAGGTAGGTTTTAATTATTATCACTGTATGAGCCAATAAGTCATGATAAATCTTCTGAATGAGCCAATAGCAAAGTAATTAAAGCACTGTGAGCAGATATAATTTCTCTTCACAACAAAAAAGGGGGCTGTTAAAGCAGCTATTTATTTGCGAATAATCAATTTCATCTTAAATCAACTGCTGTGCATGCTAACTCCACGGTGAGACCCGTCTTTTAAAAACATAATCGCTCCAATTAGCTTCATCATGCTTGGCAGAGCAACTGCCTGAATGTGCCCCTTTGGTCATATCTCAAATGGCTCTTGCCATGCTGTGAAAATTTGTCGCCGCCTCCACTTAATGGCATCCATTATAACTCACTTGGAATAAAGAACTGGGGATGATTCAGCAGACTGGTGAGGACTGGTAAAGAGAGGGACTGGGCTTCTCTGCAGCTTTTGTCTGTCTGAGTCAGTGGTGCCACCAAGTGGTTGGGATGGAGCATGGTCCTTTCTACCATCAGCTTTCTAACACAATCAGAATCTGGGCTTGGTGTCACAGTGTGTGTTGTGGTACTAAGAACGGTAATGTGCTGTCTTACCTCTGTCGTTGCCACTGGCATACTGAAGAGGCTTGCTCTTGTCGATGCTGTTGAAGCTCTGGCTGCGACGGTTGAGGTTGGATAAGCCTGGGCTCCTGGAGGCCCCGCTGCCTGCAGCAGGTACTCTGGAGGGGCCTGGTAACCTGCAGGGGCCGGTGAAAAGAGAGAGAGAGAGATTGGACGTTAAGATAACATATTGGAGTTTTAGCTCTGTAGAAAAATTGCCTTGAGGCAGAGCTCCTCTGGGGGCAGAAAAATGTCTACATGACATTATTACTTAGCCAGAAACATTATAATTCTTTGTCTACACCCACCTGAGATTTAACTTATTTCTCCCTTTAGAGCAGCTTTTTCTCAGACAAGGTTGTGAATATATAATGGCACATTTATTTCTATGCTGACAAATTGCTTAAAGAGGACATTACACCCATTTTCGGGTTCATACCTGTATTTTGCTTCCTCATACTGTCTGTGCTAGACAACCTCGTCTCACTCCTAACTCGTCAAATACCGACGCCGATGCACAGAGACAGTTTACCAGCAGTATGAGACGACCCATGTGACAGCATTTGTTCACACCCCTGGCAACTACTGTAGTATTAATAGCAAGAAAGTCCACATTGGGCGGGTGAAGGGGGAAATGAATGGGACAAACAAACTTGCATCCAGAAGCCCACTGTTTGTGTCCAGTCTTAAACCAAAAGTCAATCAAGTTGTTTTTGTAAGGCCATAGTGTGCTATGATAGGCAGCATGGTATTTTACATGAAATACCTCAAATGTACTTATTTTAAGCCAAACCATGACGTTCTTCTCAAAACCCTAAGCATTTCTTTTGTTGCTTGAACCTACGGTAGTTAATCTGAAAACAACGTTTTTTTTTACCTACATTGTCAGTTGACTTCAAAAAGACTGTATGCATTTAACGAACAGAAACCATACATTTCCTGTGATACTTTTAAAAGAGATGATGCATGTATGAGCATAAATTGACACGCCATCCTTGAATGTCTAGAACTGACGCAGAAGGGGTACCTAATGCGTCACATTTTGACATGAAGGACCACTGACCAAGAGTCTGTATTTGATGAGTTGGGTGTGAAAATGTGTTGTGCTAGAACATCTATATTCACCCTTTGTCTGAAACATTCTGTTTTAGTGCCTGTCTCTTTAAGCCCCCCTCCCAAAAAAACTCAGTCTCCCCTGATTTGTCAGGGTTTCCTGGTCCTAGCATTTCTGCAGCGTCATTGCACCAGAGGAATGAGTGTAATGGAGTATAGCTGCATTTCCTTTTGTCAACAAATCAACAATCAAGTTTACATGTTTCCCTGTCGTTAGCATGTAGCTATATGTAGCAGTGTCGGCTGTGTAATGTAAACACTAGCAGTAGCGTGCCTGTAACAGATGACTATATAAGAAATCCAGTCCACGCTGATATCGGCTTGTCTTAAAAGTTGAAAAAATGTTGAAAATAGAGTGTTCAGAACAGTCTGCAGTTTGCTCACAGGGATACCAAGCTAGCTAAAAAATAAAGCCATCACATCTGGCAACGCCTTCATTAGGCATGAGTATTGCCACAGCAGGCGATGGTTACTTGCCAGCATTCACTCATGTGTGACAGTAGCCTAACTCTTTCAATGTACATGTGGGCATGTGAGTATTGTTTTTAGACCGACTTGAGAAAAAGTGAACCTATCCTTCCAATTTGAGCCTTGGATGGTGGGAGACCCTGCTGGGAGTGAAAACAAGCCTTACTCGGACTCAAAAGGACAGATAAAAGACCACAAGCTAGGCCTTGAGCTGTGCTGCATAGACTCTACACAGCACAGAAAGTAAGGCAAAGAAAGTTCGACTCACTATAAGTTGAAAGAGTCCCTCCATGTGTCAGTGTGTAAGATGAAGAGAGATCAAGAGAGTGCTGTAAGATAGAGTGTGTGTTCCCTTGTGGGCTCAGAAAGAAGGAGAAAGAAGGAGGTGAACTTTGAGTTTTGGTGAAGCAACGTGACAGAATATAGAAAGACACAACAGTTTGCTTCGTGACAGGTTGATTGAGATCTGTCAGCGTCCATTGCTGGACGAAAAAATGAAGTCCATGTAAATCTGGAGATGTATAATGACTCTTCATTGTGTCCTCCCTCTCTCTCATCCTCCTACGTGTGTAGTCATTGCTTATTTCTGTACATCTATTGACACTGTATAGAGAAACAAAGGCTTACACACCTACCGAGGAGGTTTGTGTTTTCAGTCAGTCTCCCAACTCTCTTGCACACATGTACACACTTTTGCATAATCTTTCTCTCTCAACAGAGTCAGAGCTGCTGGTGTCAAATGTTGATTTGCCATGCTGCAGCTGTAGGATTTTCATGACTCCCATGAGGACGCGCAAAGAATTATATCATCAAAAACCTGTTGTTATTGTACGATAACTTTACATCGCATTTTTTTATGAACCTTGCCAGATGCTTTCAACCATCTGTTTGTGAGTAAGTTATTTCAAAAACAGATTTGGCATCTGGCTCAAGGATCATAACAAGATTTATGACAGGTTGGATCTATTTCTATGTGCTTGATTTGATTTTTATGAACTGATTCGAAAACTGCTTTTTAGGTCACCGACTAAGGATCCATACCTTGCTTGGTGACACATATTTTTTTCTATCACAACCTTTTTTGATTGCTTGTTTGCACTTCGTGACTAGACTGCATCCAGACCAGCTACAAAAACAATGTCTGACAAGGGTTACAAAGACAAGAAACAACACAGCAACATCACAAAGTCTCACAGCTGACAGAGTGCAGAAAACAAGGTGGGCGGAAAGGTAGGTAATGCTGAAAAAAGGGCACTGAGTGAAGACCTTGCTTGAGTCAGAGGGCCGTGGGTGTTTCCATTCATAGCCCAATCTTTGTCAATATTAAGAGGGAAAGAGAAAAAATAAAAAACCTTGAACAGATTCTAACAACTTGGTGTCTTTCTGTCTCCCTGCCTGAAAGCTGTCGTGATGTCCTTTAACAAAGATAATCGATTCGCTACGCTGAATATGTCACTCGTGTCTGTATTGCAGATGGAGCCGAGATGTCGGAGGGGAAATTCTTTTAAAGGGTAGAATCATGAAGTGGTCAAAACCCCCAGCAGGAAAAAACATATTTCATATGTTCCATTGAGTTTTTAAGGCCTTGACATAATAAAACTAAACAAACAGAGTAAAAAAAATCTACATGTAGCTTTGATTAAAAACTTCATTATTTAAAATATCTCACTAAACTTCCCGCGGTGCCGTTTTATGCTTTTGGCAAATAGAAGTAGTTATGATGAACTTCATCTGGAATACACAAAGTTCTCAGTTTCTGCATTTTCTTCTACACTATCACACATACTACAAGATCAAGTCAGGTCAACTGTAGTTTGTCACCATGATTCTGTGTGTGAGGGAATATAACAGTGGGCGTACCGAAATGTCATGTTTTTTAAGCATGGGCAGATTGTGAGACAATGGGCCCCTGGGCATGGACACATAAAAGCAAGACTTATAGACTTTGTGGTGGTTTTGCCTTTGTTTCTATTTGAGGTAATTTTTGTATCCTCTTGGTAGTTTTGAATCTATTTGTAGTGTCTTCTTAAAATAATGTGCATTCTTTTGGTTGCATTGTATCTCCTTGAAGTAAATTTGTGTCCTGTTTGGTCTTTCTGTGTCCCTTTCTAGTCATTGTGTGTGTCTTTGGGGTAAATTTGTGTCTTTTTTGGTCTTTCTGTGTCCCTTTGAAGTTACGTCGTGTCCCTTTGAAGTAAATTTGTGTCTTTTGTGGTCTCTTTGTGTTCCTTTGTAGTTATTTTGTGTCTCTTTGAAGTAAATTTGTGTCTTTTTTGGTCATCATGTGTCCCGTTGTAGTTATTTTGTGTCTCCTTACAGTTCATTTGCATCTCTTTGTGGTCTTTATGTGTCTCTTTTGGTCATTTTGAGTCCCTTCCCAGTGTGTACGTGTTAATTTGAGTGACAGTTTGCAGGTGAAGGCCAGGGGCTAGGTTTAATGTAGAAATACGGTTATTACAGTTAGTTAGGTTACATTACATTTTGCCAACAGGTAAGAGCAAGTATAAAACAAAAGACAGTAGTGGTAAGTTTAAAGATCAGATATGGATCAGATACGTGGACTTCAGGTGACAGAGCTTGACTCATTTTGACAAAGAGAAATTGAAAGATGGATAAATGAAACTAGATAAAATAACTGTGCACTTTAAGACTATTTATTACCTTTAAAGGCCTAATCATTACAAAATTTAATTCAAGATGCTTTGAGACTTGTTAAGAACCTGCAGAAACCCTGGATAAGGAAGTCCATGGAGTGACCAAATCAATAGTGGTACAATCTGGGAAGGGAGTAACACGTTTATGTCCCCAGAGTGTCCTTTGAAATCTAGGTCAGAAATGGAGCAGAATTAAAAGCTGGTGATCTGCCTTTTGGCATGGCACTCTACATTGGATCTGGAATCTATTTCATATCAAAACGAGTCCAAATATTAGAGAGATAGTCGTTACCAAAAAAAAAGTCTGCAACACATACTGCTGCCTGCTCTCTATTGTCTCTGTGGAATGCTTTAGATGGAGCCTGTTTTATACAATCCACAGTTTATAGATCCTTTTCATTAAAAGTATATTAAGTATCCTTTTTGAAAATGATCTTTGTTTTTATTAAATTTGGCACATGAAACAGCACTGTTTTCTCATACTATACAATGCTGGATAAAGAACATTAATCACCTAGCCTTGCTAATGCTCCTACTTCATCTTTTCACATCACTTCTGCAGGGCAGCTCTTCATTTGCAGAGGAAGGCAGCTCCACTAACTGATGTCAGTGAAGCAAATTATGCTTTAAGCTGCAGGGCTTATCAAACTAACCATCCGCTGCATTTTCTGATGCAACGAGAAACACAGAAAGCATTAAATAAAACATTCAGCACCTCTACTACTGCAGCAGAGAGACTTGAATGGTACTGTATATAATTGCAACAATTCAAGTTTACTCTGGGTGTCTCCCTTGAAAAATAGAACAATGTGGCTCAGCGATTAAGCAACCTGCACAGCATGTAGTCAGAGCAAAACTGCCTAATAAGTCGATCCATGTGCTGAACAATGCAAACGTTGTTTCATACAGGCAACCGTGCAAAAATAAAATGTGCTCAAGTGCAAAATAAAACTGACATCGAGAAGCAGCAAATGTGCCAGTGTCTACAGTACATTCAGTTCTTCTGAATTCCTTAGATCCTAAAACCTCTGACTGTATGTCTACAGTGGCGGCACCAGCAGACCTTACACTCTTTAGAGAAGCCAATAAAGGCCTGAGAGCAGAGACTTGGTAGTTGCACTGAGCTGCAGAGGTGTTCCTAAGCCCAGAGCTAAGACTGCTACAGCTCACAAATGGACTATTACAATAGCAGCTCCACAAAAGAGAAAGATAAAGGGTCGGAAAGGGATTGTAAGTCTAATTTTCTAATGAAATATCTCACAACAAAACAGAAACAATAGAACCTCAATGACTCCTAAACACATGCACATGCACTAATGACAGTCGCTACAGGGTTTTCAGCTCCCACAGGTACGGGCAACAGGGGAAGGAACAGAAGAGAGTTAGAGACAGAACAATTAAAAGAAAAAAACTAAGAAGACATGAAAAAGAACAAAGGAGAGAAGTGAGAGAATGGGAGTGAAAGGGAAATGGATTCAGATAGGGAGAGAATCAGAGGAAAAAATAGTGTAGCTGCAAAGCCAGACAAGAGAAAATGAGAGATAAACAGTGGGGAAATGAGGGGGAGATTGAGGCAATTCAAATGGAAATCAGAGGTACTCCCTTTTATCATAAGATTCTTTCATCTTCGAAAATACATGTTTGATAATGCATCAGCAAAATGGAGCTCGAGAGGGAAATGTGATGTAAATTCTGGACAATGATTTTGTTTTAGGATAGACTTGGGGAAGTGTATCAGACACAGAAAGGATGGTGGGCAGAAGAGAGGGATCGGTCAGACACATTATTCAGCCTGTCAGTCAGCGGCGATCCACAATAGTTCCTGCGGAGGGGAGAGCTTATGATTCATTTCTCCTGCCAAGGTTTTGCCAGTGATTATGCCAACTTCTACAGAAACATCTTCAGTTTGTCTGAGCGCAGGTTATCTAGTCTAGCCAGTCTGGAATTTACAGCACCTTCAGGACAGAGCCAAAGCTACCTCAGGCTCATTACAATGGTAGAAAGATACCACGAGCTAGCAGATGTCTAACAAGCTGTCAAACATCACCCCCTGCTGCAAAGATTGTGAACTTTAAGGACCTTATCAGTTTTTCAGCCCATTAAGAATCAAACAAATAAACAAATTTATTTTTACATCATAGCTATCCATTTTCCAGACTGTGCATGTTTTAAAAAATTAAATGTATATTTTCTACCATTGTAGGCAGCCATTGATTTCCATTCACTTCTGTGTTTTATTAAAAGCGACTCTCGAAAATTGACACATCATAATGCAGACTTGATGTTTGATGGATTGCACAACTCAAGTACATACAGGGGTGGCGAGTAACAGAATACAAGTAACAGTATTCTGTTACAGATTAAATGGGTGATATTATGAATATAGGTGATTACTTGAAGGAATTACTTTGTTTTGTTTTAACTGCTCTAATACTGTGTCCTAACTGAATGAGGCGTGAGTAAGCACCAGTTTGACAGCATTGTTATCTACTGGAATATCCTAACTGGCTGCGAGCGACGCATGGCTGTCTTTTGAGCCGAACTTGTGTTGGACGCCCTGTTTCTATTTATTCCCATCATTGGCTTTAAAAGTTTCATAGCGGACGAAGAATGACTGATTTGTGAAGCTGAACTGAGGACTAATCTACATAACAACTCCTCATTTCACTTCAAACACCCAAATAAGGTAGCAGATGGCTGAGGGGAGATCGCCAGGGATTTGTAGTTAAGGGTCCAAAACACACCAGTATGGTCCCTATAAAGGGGGTACATACAATGAGGTACATACAATATCCCTGTAGCAGATGCAAAAATGCTACGCACAGATGACCCCAGGGAAGTAAAAGCACTTGGTAGTGTGAGGGTGTGTTCAGGTGTCTTCATCAAACAAAACCACAGAGTGGTTCAACAGAAAGAAAGAAACAAGTCAGTTAGAGGAAGCAAACCATTCTGAAAAGCAGAAATGCATGAGGAGTTCTACACTGGCACCCAATTATCACCAGTTACTCATCCTTGCAAAGCTAAGTATAAACAAAGAAACAAGAGCAACCTCTTGTCTTAGACATGAACTCTTTATGCATACTTCACTATTATGAACACCAAAGAACATAAATCATAGCGAACTGGATAACATGAGTCTAAACAAACCAAATACAAAAATGGAACACTGCAAACATGTTCCCGCCTCTGCTAACAATGGAAACAATCCATATGAGTGACTGCAAGTGAACAGTGCAGTTGTTGCTGTAGTAGCTCCTTCAGCTCCTGCTAACGAGCAGAACGTCTCATAAAGAGCCTAAGAAACACTAAAACTCCAGCACCTTGAGGGGAATGCTCTTCACCACATCGAGCACAGTATGTGAGAGAGACATCAATTGTTTTCCCGTTTTAGAACAGCTAAAACTTTCCTGCTTCAGGGAGACAATTCATAGGGATTAAAAATAACTTCTCATATGGCAAGAAAGCAATTAAACGTGGTAATCATGATGGTATGAAGGAGGATCAGATGGAAGCAGAGGAATCACTGCTCACTGACCTCCAGTGCAGGTTCTTCCTTTGTGTTGTGTGTATCTTTACATGTGTGTAGAGAGATTTATTTCTGCAAAGCAGCAGCAGTGAGGTTTGTTGTCAGTGATGTGAGAGGGCAGATTACCACCCATAGGGCTGGAGATGCTGGCTACAGCATTTTTGCCATTGCTCAGTGGCGGCTGGAGAGGAATTATTTGCCAACATGCTGTTTCCCACTGCCTCTGAGCTGGAACAAATGCTGCAAGCATCAGACAACTGGACTCTGGGGTGTGTACATACAGTATGTGTGGGTACTTCTGTGGATGAATGTCTCATATGCACATTGACTTCTCATATGTGTGTATATTTAATGTGTACCTGTGCTAGTGTGTATGTGACCATGTGTATGAGAGCCTAAATGCTTATGTTTATGGGATGGCAGGAAGATCAGCGGCCCCACGTGTTTGATAGGTTTACCAGCTTGCACATGACACCACGAGAGTAGCTGTGGTTCCCTGACTGCTGGCTACAGCCGAGAGCCTGGCAACACTAAGAGTGTCATTATACTGTCTGGTAGCTTATTTAGCAGCAGCTTCTTTGCCAAAATGTGTAAAAGGGCTATTCCCAAAGGACACATGACAAGAACAGAGATTAACAGAGTTTAAGTGCAAGTAAACTACTTGTTCCTTCCTTGATTTTTTTTGTGTGTGATTCTGGGAACCTTTTGGGTTCAAAAGACTGGGGAGATTTTTATGCACTGAACTCTCCAGCATCACTGGTCACCCTGATCATGTGGGTATGACTATGATATGTTTTTCTAATGTGTTTTCTTCATGTATTCAGCCATAATGTCCAAGTGTCGCAACTTGCGTGTTGATGAAAGTTAATCCTACAGTAGCTTTGCTGTGAGTCATTTCAAATTAGATATCATCATTCATAGTAATTACTAACTGAACACTTAACGTTTTCTCAGCTGTGGAATTCTCAGACTGGTTTGGAGGTAAATTATGTACAAGCACCTTCACAGTTATATATGTGCCTATCTAAGTGCACCAGCCTTGATGCTAACAAGAAGGAAAGACATGTTTAATAAGGCTGAATCACCTGTGAAAAGGTAACAGGAAATATTATAATGAACATTTAGCAGGGGTGGGTAGTAAGGCATCACTAAGTAATGCACATTTTTTAGGAAACAAGTCCTTTTATGTTCCTTTTTTTAAACTGTACTTCTCCTCTGTAATAGTATATTTATTAATAGTATATTTGTGAATCAGTGACCTATTTTTTACTTCACCACATTTGCCATTTATACCTTCATTACTAGTCTTTTCTGAATGCAGGGATTGAGAATATGGGGTACAGCATGCGAGGAGCACCTCCAGTGCAGTTGCAAAGTTGAAGCTGCCAGAAAGAAAAAGAAGCACCGTATGCCTTTTGACCACTGAAGTAAGGTGCACATACTGCAGGTGAAAATGTCGTTAGCTAGCTAATGTTAGCCATATAACTTTTTCATATGTGATGATAATTTTGATGTTATAGTAAGGATGAGAGGGGTAGAGAGGAGGAGATGGAGAGAGAGTGGGAGATTGTTCATATTTTAGTTGTATAGGATTTCCTTATTTGTTTAATTAGCCGACTTAGTTAGTTATTAAAAACTGAGTATAGATTTTTTTAATGCTAATCACTGATATTCAGCAAATTATGAGAGACCATCTTCTCACTGTGAGGCACTGCTGCAAGCCGCCGTGAGACACATCTACACCCTGCTAAAGTATCCTTGAGCAAAACACTGAATCCCTTTCAGCTGCTCTCTAGCTCACCCTGACCTTTGACCTCCCTGTAGTGGTAACAGAACATCATAAAAACATGAAAACATTAAGTAAAATGGACAAACGTGTGAGGACAAGGGGTCATGCAAAAAAGCACTGACAACAATGAATGCTTACTGTACAGAACTTTAAACGACACAGATGATGTGAAAATCAAAATGATCAATAAATCAAAAGAGGTATACGAAGTGTTTTCCATGTTTACCTTGTGTTTTTCTTCTGCGTTGACCCTATTCCACTGTGGCCCGGAGGACTTGCATATCGTGCTGTGAGACTGAGGAGAGAGCAGACAAGATGACAGACTGTTAACACAGTTAGAGGAGGAATGAGACCAGAGTCTTACTGGAATTTTTTAATCCATGCCTTAATGTAATAACGTGTGTGAGAGGAGGCATTCAGATAGAAGCTGAGGGAGAAGAAGAGATAACCAGGGAGAGAAAAGAAGGAGCACATGGTACGCACTGTACCGTAGCACACCAGGGCACATTTTTTTGACTTTTCACATGACCGCTCACATGTGTTTATTACCACACACGTATGACTCAGTCAATAACATCTCTAAATCCGTTTACAGGGCCGCTGGCATAAAACAGCCTGAAAAACTTTCACAATCAATTTGGTGGTGGCACCGTTTGAAGAAAACCCCAAGATGCACAACACACGAGGCAGAGGCGAAGGAAATGCCCACAGCACCAGTCACTGTTTATAACCCAACACTCACTGTTAGTCATTCACAGAGACGGGAATTAACGCGGGCTGCCCCTCCATTCATGTTTGACAGGAAGCAGTTAAGCTACTTGTAGAGCTCTTTATGAACAAAGAGATGCCTTTAATCATCATGCGTACACCCTGTAAACAATGAAGAGTCGAAGGCCAGGTGGCAAGGCTGTTGTTTATTCCTGTGTGTAAATGTTCTAAGTGTGTGAATTGCATGACTCGCGAACCATGTGAGTGTTTCTCACTTGTTGTCATAAACTGAGTGAACAGAGCCTCTATTGAAAGCCCCTCTATCAACCAGACATAATCTTCTGTTTTAACTAACGTAAGTAGCCTAAATGCCTGGGAGAAAATATTGTTTGTGGCTGGCTTTATTGCTACAAGCAACAGTATCATTTTAACTCCTGCCAGCGAGGAAAGAAAAGCTCTTGTTTGATGTTCAGGCTAACTATAACACAGCTAGCATTATGTTAAACAAGTGGCCTTTCTGCTATTTATTCACCCCTTTAACAAAGACAACTACACAAACTACATTTTTACAAAGACTGGAAACACATCTATACCCAAACATCGATAAAAGACAAGTGTTGAAAATGTATTTAAGATATATTGCACGCAGTGTCATGGCAGGCTTAGCTAACAGGTGCTACAGTTATTAGCTTATCAGAATTAGTTATGTACATAAATATGAACCACTGTATATTGAAGAAAACAATGAAAATGACTACAGGAAAATGTTTGTTAACAAAGACAGTAGTAGTAAATGTTGTTAGCTCACTGGTTTCACAGTTTTGTCACAGTAACTTCACATAAAATAAGTATAAACTACAGAACCAAACTAGACCAAATTACAAATTACAGAACCCAGCTAGCATAACAGAGCATTAAATAGCCGGAAAGCTAGATAAGCTACCAACTAACAAAGTCTCCTTTCAAGAAGTTTCATGGGGAGAAATCTTTTTTGACTGTTACATATTACTAATAAATTAGTTTGTAGAGAATAACAGATAATTGCAGATGTTTCTTCATACCTTCCACAGGCCGACCAAAGACAGAAAGTTGTTTTCCAGTCAGTTCCTTTGAGGAGGGAGCCCCATTTGAACAACTGTCCTCTACAATGACCAGAGCAGTAGCTATGCTTCAGCTGGAGGACAGAGGAAGCAACAAGCACTAGCACTCTGTTTAGACGTCCGTCTTTTCTGACAACGAGGAACAACTTGTTCTCTGTTTTGTGATTGTGGGCTGCTGGTTTGGCGTTGGTGAGTGAAAGCGGACAGAGACAATAAACTACCTATACTGGGTAGCTGAGTGACGCACTGCAGTTATCACATTTTATTTTCTGCTCTCTCTGCTTTTAGTGTGCCGTTCTCAACTTTGCATGCAAACTGAATATTAACAAATGCCAACAGACTTTTACATTTTAGCATTTCATGCATTAAGCTCACACTGTGAACCAACGTGAATAAAAAAATTAATTACTAGGGAACCAACAGTACAAGTCAATCACAATACTGCTTTGAGTAGAACATGATCGCAGGGACAAGAAAATATGAATTATTATATTATATTAATAATACACCCCAGATATAACATCAGAAAGTGGTTTTATAAGGAATAGGGGTCCATACAAGTACTGGCCTTGACTTTTATAAACTAGAATTACTGCCTCACGATTGTAAGCTTCCAACAACCACTCAAGATACAGCAGACAATGCTTCAGACATAGATGTGCTGCAAAGAAGCTACATATTCTGAAACATGGATGGTTCACCTCCTCAACCTAGCAGAACTTGAGACCTACAGTATACAATCAGCACAGTTTCAAGATGGGCACCAAACAAAATGCCTCCCTCTCTGTTCCTGAGGCATGACATTTGAATTATGCCCCAAAATGTGTTTTGTGAGGTCACAGCGACCTTGGACTTTTAACCACCAAATTCTAATCAGTCCATCCTTGAGTCCAAGTGGATGTTTGTGCCAAATTTGAGGAAATTTCCTCAAGGCTCATTGAAAATATCGCGTTCAGGAAAATAAGACAGATGCTAGGTCACAGTGACCTTAACCTTTGACCACAAAAATATAATCAATCATCATTTTTCCAGTCATTATTTTTCCAAGGGGACGTTTGTGCAAGATTTAAGGAAAATACCCTCAAGGTCATCTTAAGATATTGCGTTAACAAAAGTGAAACAGAGGCAAGGTCACAGTGACCTTTACCTGTGACCACCAAAATCTAACAACTTTATTCTTGATTCCGAGTGGATGTTTGTACCAAATTTGGAGAAATTCTCTCAAGGCATTCTTGAGATATTGCGTTCACAAGAATAGGATGGACAGATGGACAAATAGACAACCCGAAAACATAATACATCTGGCCACAGCTATCACAGGCACAAATGCATAAAAATCTGTTGCTGATTAATATTTTGGCTGCCTCTTCTTCATGCATCATTTCCTGTTATGCAGAAGTACAACAAAAGGAGGACTGCTACAAAAGTTTCAGGCCTTGCCGAGGTGATTTTCAGTCAATATCTTGAATAAATTTCATCATTCTGCCGAATCAAACCAGCCGTCACGGAGCGTCTGTGATATTTAATGCTTTGTTCAGAGAGGTCGAGATTTGAATGACGAGGATCTTTTAAGGTGGTGAGCAAAATTTTAATTAGCTGTCCAACTCTTGAAAAGGTTCCCATTCTCTGTAATGCACACACACACATTTACATTCCTCACACACACACAGTCTTTCTCTATTTACACCTCTCCCTCTGGACAATTCACCTCACTTCTAAACCACCTGTGATAAAGTGCCGAGTCACTATACATTTCTAATTGACCTTGCAGGTTTTCATGATGCGGTGTTATGCAAATGAGCTCGGGAGCAGACAGCAGAACAGAGGGGGAACAAGTTCAGGGCAGTTTCACATTATAGAGGTGAGCACCTTTGCATCATGTTATTAATGAACTATATGATACATGACGTGTCGGTTAATGATGTCTGGCAACTAAATATGTTGCCCCTATAGCCCGCACCACATTTCATCTCATCTCCCTGTAGTATGTTTTGTGCTCTATTAAATACCCTGAATGGCGCTTAGCACACAGACAGGACAAGCTTAGACACAGATTAATGGAGCCTGTCACATTCGAAAATGCTTTTTCAGCATTTCGATGGAAACATTTTTTGTTCCCATTTATAGTGGGAGTCCAGTGCAAGGCTGTAAGCAAGGGTTATCTTTAAAGGCAACAAAGTCCACAGGAGTCTGAAGAAGGTAGTGTAAGTGCAGCTCATGTAGGAGGAGCACACAGTTGTATATGACAGTAAAAAAATCAGGGGTGCTGTGGTGCACATTTTTCCACCGCAAGACCCATCCTGAACCCCCCTGCCCCCTCCTTCAGCTTTATAAAATGCAGTGAAACATGAAGGCAATGGTATAGAGTCCCCAGCCTGGAGTGCTTATCCATCCCACAGCATTTAAGATGTTTCCAATGTGGAAAAAGAGACACCAGAACACACGAGGGCAGGATCTAGGACTGGGGAAAGGGGATGGGGCGGTGGTAAAGAGGAGAAGGAGGGGAGGGTACAGTCTGTCACTTTTGATCCAATACAACATACATCAACAAGTCCTTCGGTTAATAGTCCACGACACTGCGGTGCACATGCGAGCGATATTGGATGCCTTCACTGTCCTATTAAATGTGAGTAATATCAGTTTCAGTTTGATTGTAGCCGCATCCCTGAGGGCAGACACTAACAGATGGGTATGAGATCCAAAATGGCGGGAGCTTAAATACTCGGGCCAATGTGATGACAGCAGGTAATGACATCTGACCATCATGTCCAAAGGAGGGGTCTGTCCAACGTGGCTCTCTTAAATTAGCTACTTCTTGTATTATTGCTTGGATGCAGACTCACACATGAAGTCACATTTCCACAAGAGGATGCTGCACAGTTAACTCGGTATCAAGTGTTCGCTAATGCGTGCTATATGGCAACATGTTGCACTGAGCATCCACTTCTGTGGAAACTAGTTTTGCATGAATGTTGTACAAAGAAGAATCTATAGTACAAGTTGAAGCCCTTGAATTCATTCAATATGTCAATAAGTCCTCCAACCTTAACAACAAAAATAGGTAATTTAAGTTGCCCTAATGGCCTAAGAGTTTAGGGGTTAGGGTGCTGACAATGGACCACAACATCTAGGTTAATCGCCGAATTACGCTAGAAAGAACTACTTAATATATTTTGTCTGACTATGTTGGAAGACAAAAGTGTTTGTAGTTGCAGACTGGCTGGATGGATGGATAAAGTTTCTATAGCTGTTCAACCACTGAACTAGTATTTCTGATTAAGTACAATACTGCTTTTAGCCCAACTCGTGAATCTTTGTTACCTGTCATTTCTCTATTATCATCTCTCTGATCAAGACACACAACACTCCAGAATATACTATAAACTAGAAGGGCACTGGGAAAGTGAAGACCTCCACTAAGGCCAAATGTCCTGTTTCACAATGTTAATAAAACCGAAAGTAATTTCTGTATCGATCCTGTAAGTTG